TTCGTGTACTCATCCACCAATCTGAGGGGAAATGTTGTTGTCTCTGTGTGTGCTCTTCTGTCTGTTAACAAAATATCTCATGAGCCACTGAAATTCTCAGAAAGTAAACATTTAAACTGATTTCATTGTTAATCTACAAGACAGCTGCTACAGGGCGTACAGGGGCCACTGAAAATCCAGTAGTGGCACCAAAAGCATAAGCCGGAACAGAATTGTTTCTCAGGTTGTTTGACAAATAAAGCAGGAATATGGAATTTAAGAAAATGATTTATCTACTTTAGCAATATATATTACTTATCGGGAAAGTTCAAACATTTACATTATTTAGCTGACTTTCTGAGTGTGAAATCCAAAATTTCTAATAAGATTTTATTATTTAGCTCATTGTTTTTGCATTTTGGTAATTTTTACTAAACGTTAAATTTCAATGTTAAATGTTAAACCTTAAACCAATCAACTAACCAATCCATCCTCTTAACAAGCTTCTTCCTTTCAGGGTCAGGGGTGTCACTGGTGCCCAGCAGCAATCATGATGCAAGGGGCATGGTTAACCCTGGACAGGTGCTAAGTCCATCATACGATCTAAAGCCTAAATCTAAAAGTGTAAATCTGAATGTAAAATCTAAAGTTTACATTTTTTGTACTTTTGAGTTGAAAAGTCTTTGCCTTCGGTGCACATATTTTGTGATCTCATCATCCTGCGACAAAAGCAAATGTGTGGTGTAGTTTAATGTTTACCTGGTCTTTACTTCCTGATTGCTACACACCTGTGTTAGAAATTGTTACGAATTGGATGCCTGAATAACTGCGCAGAAGTTTCCAGTCAAACTGTTTATTCTCAGATCTAAAAGTTTAATCTCACCCAGTGTCTGAGTGTGTGGCCCTGAGTCTAATCAGGTTCTAACTTCCATCTGGTTACGCCCACATGTCCTTAACAACCCAAAACAATTAAGCAGACCCTGGTCACAGTCCTGGAGGTGGTACCTTTAGGTCAACATTAGATTGTAAACAACAAATCTATGTTTATCCTGCAGGAGGACACATTGTTGTCTCTGGCTAATATAAATGACTAATCAAAAAAAAATAAGATGTTAGACCATATCTAAAATTCAGTTAATTAGTCACAAAATTTCCTTAATCTGTTTTTATTTTTGCTTGATCCACTTTCTAAGCTCTGCCTTCATTTGTTTATTACCTGACCATTGTTGTTGCTGCATTTCTCTGTTCCTGATCCTTGAGTGTTGTTTGACTTTATGTCATGAATTTGCAGGTAGGAAAGAACCCAGGGTGCAGGCAGACTCCAGGCTCCAAAAAAAAAGTATTTATTTAAACAAAAAGTGCTGACAGGGCAGCTCAAAAATCTCATGTGACGTGGCAAGGCAAAGACAAGAAAAGGAACATGGAGCCATGCAGGCTGTAAACAGCACAATGAACAGACAGGGGAGGGAAGACCAGACACAGAATATAAAGGTGAGACTAATGAGCACAAACAAGAAACACCTCGGGGAGAAACATGAGGATCAGGTGTGAGTGGGCGGGGCTGGAGGAAAGGCAGGAGGAAGAAAACAGAGGACAAGACAGAAAACTAGAATAAATCACAAGCACAGACACTGATCATACTATTCATTTTCAATAACTTTTCCTGGCTAACCTGTTTTGAAGTGCTTTGAATTTTATTCTTTCTGACAAGAAATGAAACACCTGAGTTGTTCTCCATTTGTTGCCCCCTGCCTGCAAACTCTGCGTTTGTTCATTCTTCCAACACATTTCTTTCAATATGCAGCGTCCATCTTTGTCCATTGTTTAAGTTAGGCCTTTGATAAAAAAAGGCAGAGTCTGAAGACTTGGGGGAAGACGAGTCCATTACCAGGGCAGAGGTCACAAAGGTTTATATAAAAAAAAGCTCCTCGGTGGCAGGGCACCAGTGGTGCGCAAGTTTCACACTTTTTTGCTGAATGCTCTGGACATGGGTGTGGAAGTGGGGGGAAATGTGGACCTGACTACCCAGGGCCCAAGAAGGGAAAGGGGCCCATGGAAGTCCTGATTTTATTTTTTATTTGTTTTTTCCCAAATGAAATGGGCCCTTCAATTAATTGGTGTAGTAATTTATTTCAAATATATTGATAACATAAAATGAGAGAATGAACTTTATTTTACTGTCCACACCATGTTGGACATTCTGGGGACCCCCTCTTGGAGGTGCAAAATGGTTTAGTCCGCCCGACACCAACCGGGAAGTGTGGAACCCAGTCACAGCTGAAGGAGCTGCGGGGAGACCGGACAGACAGAACTGGGAGGTTTCCCGTGGTCTGCCTGCTGACTGGCTGGCCTGCTCAGCTGGTTAAAAGTTTCGGTCGCTCTACAACTTTTAAATATTAACAATTTGGTGTGGTCAATGCGCCTCGTCAGAGCTGCTGCATGTCCCGAAGTCCGAAACCCCCGGCTCACCGAGACTCACACAGTGCAGACACACAACGTGGTGATGAATTCTCAGTGCTCATGGAGTTGCAGCAGGTAACATCAGTCTCATTAACAGAACATCCAACTTTTGATCAAACTTTATTCTTTACAAAGAACCAGACACAAGTCCACAGGGCAGCTGTTTTTATTACGAAAACTTAGCTTGCAGCTATAGTCACCTATCATAGCTAATGTTAGCAATCACTTTTAGTGATAGCATTTAATCTATTATTGAGTTGTTTCAGTTAAACTGTGGTTTAATCCTAAGATTGAGTCCAAGTTCACTCTGATATTCATTAATTATTGATTATTATGTTATTTTATGTTGTGAAGACAGCTGCATGATGTCATGTCAGTTATGAGTAGACCTGTCATCAAATCAGAAAAAAGTCAAACTAAACTCACAGTTGGTGGTTATCATAATTACACCTGTTCATTGGGTAAAGTTATTAATGATTTTAGTTTGAAACATGCAGTTGTGTGTCATCATTGTTTGGCACAATATGTTGTGTTATAAATAAAATTAAATGAATAATAAACAAAATTAATGTAAAAAACTCCTCTAAGCCTGTTTGAGATAAATTATCACTTTAATTTAATTATCTGAGCCATAAATGAGTTTAAAACAGGATGATGTAACTAGTTTAACAAAGAATCTGCCTCAAGTTGTCTCTAATTAAGTCTTTATTTGTGTAAGTAAAAGTGTCTTTATAACCTGTTAAAATACATTAGAAATCAGGAAATAGCTTCTACTTTATTCAATTTTTTCTGGGGGAGGACCCCCAGACCTCCCTCCAGTTTGACCTTTATACACATTACAAGCCTTCTGATGCCCCGGTTAAAAAGGATAAACACACCTGAAGAGCTCCACCTGTGTCTCTGTGTGAAACTATGGCTTTTTGTCAAACTTTATTCTTAGTGAGTTTAAAGGACTGATACACTACCTGGTTTAATAAAGGTGAACATAATCTCAGTTAATATGGTTTGAATTTTATTGCATCACAAAAGAAACATTTGCTGTTCAGTTTATGACGTGTGCAGGACAGTTAAATTGAGCACGTCTTGTACCAAATGTTTGTCTAAAGTTCAAGATTAAATGGTTTTAAATCAAAATTTGATATAGTTTCATGGATCACAACATTAGTACACAAACCAGATGTAGCATAATGTTTTAGGTATTTCAACACAGGGAGGCCAAATGCATCAGTTCAGCTGGTGAATGAAAGAACCACTCATCAATATAATCTGATCTGATTGTAGCTTAAAACCTTAGTTATGCTTCTTTATTTAAAAGAATACCCCCCACCCTTTTTTGGCTTATGCACCGTGTGCACTGGCATGGATAGAGGCCCACTGACATCGAGAGTGTACAGGGCCCAGAATTTGGTGCTACGCCCCTGGCTATGGATGTTGTAGGGCTGTCATGATTGACACGTCTCTTGAAAGGATTGGAAGGGAGGCTCTGATCTGAACCTTGGATTCAGGAGGAGGGGTGTAGCTTCCATCCTGGGAGTGGAAAAGTGGACCAGACCTTTACTGTACACTTTTAGAGTTTCTAAGGGGTTTGTGGGAGTTTGCCTGTCCTGTCTACATTTTGTAGAACTTGGAAAAGGTTTATGACCATGTTCCTCAAAGTATGTGGGGGGTGCTGAAATGTCGATCCAGTTCCTGAATAACTAAAGCAGGAGTTGTGTTCACATTCTTGGCACGAAGTCAAGCTCATTGTCAGTTCAAGTTGGACTTAGGGTTGCTACGATTAATCGATTAATCGACAACTAATCGATCATTAAAATAATCGATGACTAATTTAATAATTGATTAATCATTTTCTTTTGTTTTTGTTCTTTACTTTGTTTTTCTCTCCAAACTGCTTTGAC